AGGGAGAGGTGTGGCAGGGCTCTCCCTCCCCCTTCCCCTCCCTGTGAGAACAGCATCAGCTGCTCCCTCTGCCCCTCTCACCCAGAAACTCCTCTTGGCTGGGGGTGCGGGGAGTGGGCTCTGCCTGCCCCCTGCAGCAACCTTGATTGGCTGCCCTTCTCCTGGAGGCAGGGCAGTGGGGAAGGGCAGCCAATCAGAGGGGTTTCCCTGGGTGGGTCTGGAGTGTCTGGGGCCTGGCAGAGGGGACAGAACCTGTCACTGTGATGACATTGCTGGGGTGGCTGCACCGAGCTCCTCCTGCCCCATCCGCCCCCATTGCTGTCCCGCCCCCGGACAGAGCAGAGCCATCTTTACATAGGGGCAGCCTTGCTCCCATGTGCAAACCTGGGGGTGGCCATCTTGGCTGAGGGTGCCTGCGGCTTCACCCTATTGATACTAGTGGGCAGTGGTGGCCATTTTGAAGGAGGGGAAATTGGCCAGCCCAGAGCTGGCGATCACAAGATTGTGGGAAACTTTATAAAACCCAAACAAAAAGCACCAAATATTGTGAGGCGCGGGGACAAAAAGGGCCCTGGGGCTGGGTTTTCTAGACCTTTCATCATTTGTGTTGCTGTTCTCTGGACTTTCTCCAACTTGTCCACATCTTTCCTGAAATGTGGCGCCCAAAACTGGACAGAAGACTCCAGTTGAGGCCTAATCAGCGCAGAGTAGAGCGGAAGAATCACTTCTCGTGTCCTGCTTACAACACTCCTGCTAATACAGCCCAGAAGGATGTTCCCTTTTTTTTGCAGCAGTGTTACACTGTTGACTCATATTTAGTTTGTGGTCCATTATGACCCCCCAGCTCCCTTTCCACAGTTCTCCTTCCTAGGCAGTCATTTCCCATTTTCCCAGTCTCGTCCTGCCGTGGCCCCAGCAGTGTATTGTCAGAGAGCTCCTATCTGTGCTGAAATGCCTCACGTCAGGGACCCACATACCACACGACAGCGTCCCCAGGCCTGGGTAACTGCAGCACCATGGCTTGGGGGGGCGGGGGGGGAGGTTGCAGTGCCTAGGGGAGTTAAGCCGGGTGTCTGAGCTGCACTGTGGCTTGGCTGAGGCCGATGCCAGGGGCGCGGTTAGTGCAGTTGTCAGACACACCAAACCATATTTAATAGCTTGGCCTGACCTTTTCAAAGGGAGCAGTGAGTGGGGGCCTGCCTCGAGACCCCCTAAAGGGGCCTGGCTGTTAGAGTGTGGGTGCGTGTCATTTTTCTGAACATCAAGAGGGGTCTCAAGTAGGGACCCAAAAATGAGGCAGCCAAACTCACGTCACTTGAAAATGTAGGTCCGTGTGTGTACAACACTGTCTGTCTGCCTCTGTATGTAAGCTGGGGGCGGGTGGGGGTGTGACTATGAGGGTGTTTGGGATCCCTCACGGGTTTCTTCGGTGCCCTCCCCACACTCACCCCACTTCTGTTTGCTCCACTAGGGGCTGGCTCACTTCCCTCCCTCCCCTCCCTGTCTCCCGGCCCCAAGGGCAGCCATCTTCCCTGAGAGCCTAAATTCAGCTGAGGGTGACCAGATAGCAAGTGTGAAAAATTGGGGCACTTTTTTTTCCGGGGGGGGGGGGCAGTTACTTGCTTATATAAGACACAGCCCCTAATATCGAGACATCTGGTCACCCTGATTCAGAGCCATGGCAGACAGTGGGACATAGTGGACATCTTTGCTACGGGCAGCCTTGCTGCTACCTGCCCACGCTATAGGGGAATGGTGGCCAGCGTAACCGAGGGTGATCGGTGGCTTCAGTCCTGCTGGAAACAAAAGGAGACGGTGGCTACTTTGAAAATGGGCAAAATCTCTCTAGTTTGGTCCTGATCATCCCCAGATCATGGGAAACTTGGGGGGCGAAAAACACACCCAACATCACAAGAGTCATGGACCGTCCGGTGCCCCCTCCCCTTCCTGTGCACTGGGGATACGAGGGTGAGATCAGCGGCTGATGCTCTCCATCCCATTCCTGGGGCGCGTGGGCTGCCTGGCACCCACAGCACAGCCTGGGGCAGCTGCCCTTTACAAGGGGTCCTGCTGCTGCCTTTATAACCCCCCCACCAGCACCGGCACACTGCACTCAGGGGCGAGGCTGGGGTGGGGAGCTCAGCGGCAGGGCCAGCTGGCAGGTCGTGGGGAGCTGAGGGAGTGAAATGGGGGGGGGGTAGGAGGACAAGGGATGGGAAGCAGGGATGTGGGGTCTCCTCTTCCTGCCACAGTGCCGAGCAACACCAGCCAGCTGGGAAACCCTGGTGCCCCCTGCCTCCCTCGGCCAGCCTGGCGCAGGTGTGTGGACAGGCAGAGACCCAGCAGAGTGCAGGGAGGAACCCACCCGGGTGCAGGCCCCACGCCATGGGAGTATATGGGGGGTATTTAAGAGGATGGATCTGCTGCTGTCTTTCCAGTCCTGACCCAGCCCTGGGGGCTCTGGCTGTGTGTGTGTTTCAGGGGTTCACACCTGGCAGCTCATGTATGGCTGTGATCTCCGGGATGACGGCACCACTGGGGGTTTTCGCCAGTTTGCGTATGATGGGAGAGACTTTGTCAGCTTCGACAAGGACACCCTGACGTACACTGCGACAGATGCTGGAGCGCAAGTCACCAAGAGGAAATGGGAGGGTGATAAAGCCTCCCTTCAGAGAAGAAAGAACTACCTGGAGGAGATCTGCATTGACTGGCTGAAAAAATACGTGGTGTATGGGAAGGAGGCTCTGGAGAGGAAAGGTGAGCTGGGATGTCCCCCTCCCCCAAAGGTGTCACTGACTTACACATTTCCCTTCTCCTGCTGACACTAACCTTAAGTCTGACATTGTCTCTGACACTGCTGAGTGAAGTGGGGAGTTCAGGGTGTCCCTCCTCTCCCCCACCCCTTAGCCCCATGCCTGAGCTGGAGGGAGAAGGGAATTTAGCTAAAAACAAGTCTCCCTTCCCTGTTGCTTCCTGTTTCAGCCTGTATCACAGAGAGGAAAGGGACCCAGACACACCCTACCTAACACAGGGCCAGACTGTCTGGGTGAGCCCCTCATGCTCTAAGCCTCATGATCACTGTGTGTGTCCCCCAGTGGAATCTCTCGTGCCTCACCCCATTCCTGCTGGGGGGTGGGGGGGAAATCATGGAGGACAGGGAATGTGCTTCTAGCTTGTTCAGTCTCTGTCCTCCTGACGCAAATGCTGAGAACTTCCTGTTTTTATTATAAATAAAACTGAGCAATGAGAAAAGCTTGTCTCTCTGATGTCCTGGGGCCAGCACGGCTACACCACCACTGCACACACAGAACAGGGAGTCAGTCATAGGGTGGAGGCTGTTCCTACAGTGAACACCCCCCCCCTTATACCTTTAGGCCCAGTCCTGCAGCCCTGACTCAGGTGAGTAACCCCTGCTGCCTCAAGTAGATCCACTGAGTCACACATCATCTGTCATAGCTCAGAAGACCTGCCCGACGTTGTACATTAGCGCTCACTAGTCACAGCAGTCCGGGTTTCACAGAATCCCGTGTACCGTTACGTGTTCTGTATTCCGGTCCATCCTGGAGAGCTTCATCAGAGGCCAGTGGAGTCTCTCCCCTGCACACACGTTCATAGTGACACCCCCCCCCCCCGACCTGTTTCTGTCCCTGCAATTACTGACTGCCCTGCCCCGCCAGTGGAAAGAAACCGGCTCCACTCTGACCAGGTCAGCTTTGAAGCGCAGTTTCCCTTTTATCGTTATATGTAATTTCCCTGCTGCTCCCTCTGAGGGGGCTTTGGCTGTGGTACCACATATAGGAAGCTAAGAGCTCAGGCAGCAGAGAGATCGTCATACTAATGAGGGTGTAGCTGTTGTTTAATGGCTCTTTCCTATCTGTGAGCTCTCTTAGTTCCTCTCCTTGCTACCCAGCCAGGCCAGGATTGCTCACGGTTTCGGGGTGATGGTACTTGTCCAGCTCTGGGGAAGGCCTTGGAGATCCGCAGTTGGAAACTCTCTAAGTACTCAGTACGTTATCCAGGGACCCAGCTGTTGGTTTCGCTGTGGCTACTGCTGTGGATTCGGCACAGGAATCCCCTATCTCGGTGCCTTTCCAGCTCCTTCGTTCTGCGGGGCCCTTTGTGTGAGAGAGAAACTGACTTCCTCCTGAGCTCTCCTCCCTTCCAGCCCCCACTTCATCACTGCCTGGCTCTCAGAATGTGCCACCAGGGACGGCTTCCTGCAGCCCAGCTCCAGAGCCGCTGTCCAATTTCTGTGTCATTGTTTGTTTCTTCAGAGACCCCGGAAGTGAAGGTTTTGCGCAAGACAGTCTCCGACGGCCCCACCACGCTCTCCTGCAGGGCCCACGGTTTCTACCCCCGGACCATCACCGTGAGCTGGATGAAAAACGGAGAGACCAGAGACCAGGAGACGCGGCAAGGGGGCATTGTACCCAACGAGGATGGGACCTACCACACCTGGGCGACCATAGAGGTAGATCCCAAGGAGACAGACCTGTACACGTGCCGTGTGGAGCATGAGAGCCTGCTGGAGCCTGTTGACCGTGCCTGGGGTAAGAACAGCGGGAGGCTCCTGTCTTCTGGGGTCGGGGGGGGGGGGGGGGAGGGGTAGCTTGGGGAGCAGCGTCCCCTCCTGGAAGTGGATTTCCACTCAGAAGGAAAGAAGAGGTGGCCTTGGCATGGTGTGTGGAAGGCATAAATCAGAGGCCCTCAGCTGGAGGTAGGATCTTGTATTCTCTTAGCCCATTGAGGGTTTGTGGGCAGAGACCTTCCATCCACCGCTCCCTTCTTGCTCAGCGCTGGTGCCCTAATTCGGTGTCCGTGTGTCCACCTGAAATCTGCCGAGTCAGTTTCATTAAATGAATTTCAGGCCCATCCCCCGTCCCCGAGCCCACCCTAGGGGACACAGCCCCAGAAACACCGGCTGAATTCTGTGGGTTTACAATCACGTTCTGCTGCCCAGGGTGCAGAAGATGGTTCCTCACAGAAAGCCTCGTTTCACCAGAACCGGAATTCCCAGCGGACATTTCGAATGCTTGTGGGGAAATTCCAGTGTGAGAAAGTGGGGAGGGGAGGGAAGCAGCAGAACTCGGGGCTGGGAGGGACCCTTAGGACCCATGGACTGAATTACCGAACCCCCCAGATGAGCACACGTTGTAGCTGTAACCCCACGGGGCAGGGGCCTCCAGGGGCTGAGATCAGCGTCCCGCTTGACACCAGGCCCCCCAATGGGGCTGTTCCCAGCTTATACATTGGGGGAGGGGGGCTTTCATGAGAGGGGTGAACAGCAGCCTGGGCTGTTAGAGCTGGGAGTCAGGACTCCTGGGTTCTATCCCCAGCTCTACCTCTGACCTCCTGTGCGGTCTCTGGCAAAGTCCAGTCCCCTCTGTTTGCCTCAGTTTCCCCTCTTGCGCATAACAATGCTGGTTTCTACCCCCTTCATTAATGTTTGCAAATCTCCTTATGTGTCCCAGCCCTGTACAAATGCCAGCTGCATTAACTGATTAATAGTTTTGTCCCAGAGCACAGCGGGGTGGAATGCATGTGGCTGCGTGGAGCTGGTGGAAGTCTGGGGCAAGGGGGCTGCAGGACGCAGCCAGGGACCGATTCCTGCAGCAGGAGGAGAGGGGGCTTTGAGGATCCTCTCACTCACTCTCCCCTCCCCTTTCAGAGCCTGGCTCTTCGCTGATCCCCATCGTGGTTGGAGTTCTCGCTGCCCTCGCCCTCGTCGTGGGTGTGGTAATCGGAGTCGTCGTCTGGAGAAAGAAGTCAGGTAACAGCTCTGGACGGATGAGGCAGATTCTCCGGCTGCTCCTGACTCCCGGCAGCCCCAGGGAGAGCAGCAATACAGACCCAGTGTCAGTGCTGTGTGACCGCTCTCCTGGGACCTAGAGACCCTGATGGGAGGTGTTCTTGGGGCAGGCCCAGACAGCGCAGGGGAAGGGAGGCTGCTCGCTCTGGGAGCCCAGGGAGTCTGTCTGTGAGCCAGGGGTCGGGGCTGTGGCAGGCACCGCAGTTCCGGTCCATGGACGCAGATCGGAGCTGGTTCCTGCCCTGAGAACGGCTGCACTCACTGAAATCTCTTCTCTCCGCAGGGAAAAAGGGAGCCGGCTACTCGCCTCCAGGTGAGTGAGAGGAAACATCTGCCTCTGTCCATGCGGCGTCTCTGCACCTTGTGCCAGCCAGTCCTGCTGCCCTGCATACAGCAGCTTGGGCACATCACAGGAGACCCAGCCCCACTCTCACAGCCTGGAGAGCGGCAGCAGCAGGACTGGCTAATGCCACTCACACCCCACCCCCTTCCCTCTTCAGATCCAGTTACTGCTGTTCCTCACGGCACGTTAATACGCCCCAGGGAACCCCCTCCTTGTTGGGGTGAGGGGTGTCACACACTGACACCTTCTGTAGCCCCTAACATCAGAACATTCCTCTGTCCCTCACGCGTGCACCATCGGTCTGACAACAGAGCCCAGAGCTGTGTCCGGCCTGTGAAATGTCACCGGTTCTAATCTTGCCGCCTCCGGGTTTAGTTCACGGTGGGACTGGCTGGATCCCTTGTGCAGGGTGAGGGGAAATCTCCCTGGGGAGCCTGATGCACCCGCTGCGTTCAGGGAATCACTAACCCCTCTTCTCACCCCCACAGGAAGTGACCGTGGATCCGACACCTCTGCACAAGGTAGTGTGATTAACGAAGGAGCCCCGAGCTCAGGGGATTTGCTGCTCTCACTGAGGCCTCTAGGGAGGCCCCTGCCCTGTGGTTAAACCCAGCGTCACCCAGGCCCTGCCCTTTGGGATCTAAGAGCTACCAGCCATGTCACAAACCAGCCCTGGGGAGCCCAGCAGGACAGCGCTGGACTTCGCAGTAGCCCTTACTGGGGTGCAGGGAATGGGGTTGAGGGGGGCGTCTGCAGCCACTTCTCCCTTCTGCGCTCTCTGTGGGGTGGATTTAGACAGCAGGAGCTCGGGGGTTCTCTGGCCATAGGGAAGGGGCCGGGATGAGCCATTGACCCAGGGTTGGCCGTGATCAGTTGTTATAATGAATCCCTGTGCCGCAGGCAGTGCAGCTCCCAGCTAGACCACCCTGGGTAGAACCCGGGATATTGGGCTCCAGAACCACAGGCCTCTGCTGTGTGAGTCAAGGGAGCGACTCCAGCAGCTGTCAGCAGTATTAGGGCTCTTGTCCTGCTAGTCACACCCACCAGAGGGCGACAGTCACACACCCCTGCACACTTAGTGCTTGTCTACCTGAGAGAGCTGCACACGACGGTGTGAACGGAAACCCGATCTTTAGTTAAAACGGTGTAAACCCCTGTGTAGACATCTTGTCTACATGGTACGTGGAGGTGAAATAGCTGAACTGGCTGTGATTCACATCCCTAGTTATGTCAGTTTGAGTCTGTGTACACACTCTGATTTCACTTTAAGTGCCCTAGTTTAGTTTGATGGCACCTTAAAGACTAACAGATGTATTTGGGCATCAGCTTTAGTGGGTAAAAAACCTCACTTCTTCAGATTGACCCCTCGTTGTTTTTGTGGATACAGACTAACACGGCTACCCCTCTGCTAGTTTAGTTTGACTCCTTACTGATTTGTGCAGTGGGCTGCTCTTAACCTGAACTCAGAGCGTCCACACAGGGGTTTGTGCTCTTCCAATTAAACCGTTTTAAACACACACCTGAGGTTAAACCAGCGCAGCTTTCTTGTCTAGACAGCGCCATACAGAGCTGTGGCGTCTCCTGCAGGAGACTGGTGATGGCAGCCCTAGTGCGGTGCAGTGTGATCCTAGAGGAGTGGGATCCATACAGGGATCTCTCCTCTTACCCCCACCCGGCAGGTGTGACCCCCACTCTGCCCCATGGGGACGGGACGCAGAGTCCCCAGGGCACCAGCTCCTCGTCTGCAGGGAGCAGGGGCAGACCTGAAACCATCTCTCCCCAATTGCCAACATCGTAAAGGCTGCTTACGTCTGTCCCCACCGGCACCAGCTGGTCCTTGCACTGGCCTCTCTGGTGTCCTGCCAGAGAGCGAACGGGCAGTGAGCGCCCTCCCCCCCCCCCCCCGACGCCAGAGGAGGCCCCATGAGG